GTAAAAGATTCTTACATCGAATGGGTGTCCGAAACATCGAACATTTCACTGCGTCTCCTGACGGTTCCCGAATTTTCTAAATTTTTCTACGAAAATTAAAAATACGCATCATCTATCCAAAATTCAAAAGGCTAAAATAGGTATTTTTAAACTTTCTCGACCAATTTAGGGTTTCAGCACGACGCCACCATTGTCGGCTCTGCCGACCACGGCGGTGGTTCCTCTCAGCCTGGCTGGTTTAGACTGGTTTTATCCGATTTTGGGCGATTTTATATGAAAACCTGCAAAAAACAAAGTTAGGGGGCCTTTATTGGCTGGAAAAGGAAAAATCGAACCCCTACCGGTAAAAAAGTCTCCGGGTGCGATGGCTCCACCGTTCCTCCTTTGCAATCGTGGTGTTTCTTTGACTAACCTATATAAGAACAAAACGAGAGTCATGATGATTAGAAAATTGAAGGGAACAAAAAACAGGAAGGGGGTTAACGGAGAGGTTTTCGGGTTACGACTGCATGGCTCTACCGAGCTCTGCTCTTATTTTTCAGCTCATCCACTGATATTTTTTGCTCTGATATGGGTGTTAGGAGGTTCAAAATTCAATTCCGAGTGGAAGGAGAAAGATTTTAACTTCTTTGGCGTCGGTGATGACTCCAGTGCAATGACGACAGTGTCCCTCCAGCGGCTGATCTTCCCTCTGGCCGCCCTTATTCTTCTTCTTTGGTTAGTGGTTGTCGGTTAGGGTTTTAGGGCTGACTGAAGAGAGATTTAAATACCTCTCTTCCCCCTGATCATGGCCGTTCATCTGCGTCGACATGGAGAACTGTCCAATTATTGCCTGTTTAGGTCGATTATGTGTGCAAATTTGAACCGTTCATCGCGATCAAATCTAGTCGTCTGATCGCATCTGAAGAGGAAACAGATCTGAATCGTTCCTGCACACGAAATGCAATCTGGGTCGTTGGATCACCTAGGCACATGGATAACCCGCGTGGAACTGGTGTTAGCATGTCCACCACGCGACGCGTTCTAACTCGCCGCACTGCTGACGTGGCCGTCTCACGTTGTTGTATTTTTTAAAATTGTATTTTTACCCAGTTTTTCATATTTCTTTTCGAATAGATCATCTCTTATTTCTATTTTAGCCCTGATTTTTGAAAATATTTATAAATGCATCGAAATTCTAATTTTCAACAAAATTTTAAAACATTTAAAATTAATTATTTTAAATATATCTTTTCTATTAATATTAAATTATCATGAGCTAAATTTTTGAGCCCGAGTGTTACATATAGAGACTTTAACCAAATCCTTGCTATTGATAATAGAAACTATATTTAGTAGGTCATATATTAATAGTAAGGAATTTTAAGGTTTTTTGATAAAATGGTTCTAATTGATTTGATTTATTTGGCAATCCATATATATGTAGTTAAAAAAGATGTAAACTTGCTAAATAGAAAGCTTATCTAGTTAGAACTTAAAGACCATATTTTAAATGGCAAGTTCAAGGGGATAACAACATTTATTTCTCTTATCTTTCCACCATTATCAATTGGAAAAGGAATTATATTAATATAATTATTGATCTGGATGACATTATCTCACTGACCCTAATGAAATTGCATCTCATTTTATTGATCAATATGAAAGGTTTTACTATAGTGTTTAATCGGCTTTATCTTCTAAGCTATAACAACTTTTTTTTTCCTGTATAACTGAAGAAGATAACAAGGAATTGCTTAGAATCCTCTTAAGCTTCTATAGTTTTCCTAGTGTTATGGAAATAAATTCTTGAACTATGTACAATCACACTAAAGTAAAAAATAGAAAGAAAAGAACATAAGATTTTTACGGAGTTCAACAGTGTGCCTACATTCACGAGTAAGACCGACAAGAAAGTATTTCACTATGATCAAATGAGAGTACATCATTAGTAAGTTAACAAATCTATTTATAGAGAGATTAATAGAGTTTTTTTCAAACAAATATTCTCTAGGATACACATATAATATTTTCCAAGATAAATATAAATTTTTTTTAAGATATATATAAAAATATCTACTAGGATAAACATAAACTATCCATTAGAATATAAATAAATATTACCAAAATTCAAGCCACATCAACACTTAGTTCTTAAGATGTTGATCCCAAATAGTCCTATGATTACAAAAAAATTCAAAGTCCTTTTATCAAGCTTTTTGGCATAAAGTAGACTAAGTCATCATTAGATTTGTCCAAGAATTCTTTCAATCATTTCTTCTTGAGAAAATGAATCAAACACAAATAGTTCATATTCATAAATGTCTTTGCGCTATATTTATTAAACAATTTCAACTAATTTTACTTTATAGTGTGTCCAATAAGATAGTTACTAAAGTTTTTATTTCACATTAAATGTCCATTTTGTAGTTAATTAAATATCCATTTTAAGTAGTTTTTGGCAAGATGTAGAGGATGTGTGGCCCTCAATGGTGATATGTGGTAGATCTTTCCTATAATGACATGAATGTTCTCTTATATAGCCTTATAGCATGCATTTTATTTGAGTATTTACTCATTCATCAGTTTATTTCTAC